TCTTTCCATTGAGCTACATCTGTTGCCCTTTTTAATGAAATGTACTGGTTCATGTGTATGAGATATAATAATTATACTCAATTTGGGGACTTGATACACACATCATAATTGTACTTCCCCTTCCTCTCTGCCTTCCTCCATTCCTGTTTCCCTTACATTCCTAATGTTTCATATGACAGAGCCACTACTGGTCTAACAATCTTTGTCTTTCTGTCTTGTTTTTGCTGAGGTAGCTTATATAAATAAAGTTGGGAAGACCTGTTGGAAAAAAAAAAAAAAAGAAGAAGAAGAAGCATTACAAGTTGAGCATTCTGAATCTGAAAATCTGAAATCAGCAAGGTGCAAAATCCAAAATTTCTTGGACCCTGGCATGAGGCTTCCAGACAAATTCCCCACATGATCTTATGTAACTAGTTGCAGTGAAGGCCCAAGATCACTTATTTTTTTTTAATTTAACTTCATGATATGCATATAAGAAACATAAATGAATTTTATGTATAGATGTGTGTTCCACTGTTAATCTATCTCACTGTGTATACACAAATATTCCATTTTTTAAAAAATCTTAAATCTAAGTCCTAAGCTTTTCATGTAAGGCATTCTCAACATGTATTATTTTGAGGATGTTATATTCAGTCTCATGCAAGGTAAAATCTTTATCACTTAACCATGTCCGTACACCTTTTGATGTTACTTCAAGATGGGACCATGCTAAATTTTCCAGATTAGCCTTGAACTGTGATTTTATTGCCTCCCTTTTCTAAGTAGCTGTAATTTAAGTATGTTTCATTATGTTTGGCTCTTGTATTTCATATTTACAGTAGCAAACCAGAGGTTCAGAGAAGAAAATAAAGATTTATTAAGTGATGACAAACTTAACTAGAACTATAATCTAGCTGAAACCAATTATATATGCTCTGCCTTTTGACAATGGACAACTGTAGTACAGAGTAAATCAAAGAGTGAGTTTTTATGATTGTAGTTGCTAAAACTCAAATGCAGCAAAGTACAGCATGGGAGGATGCAGTTAAAGATAGAAAGTTGGCTCAACAAAGGCTGCCAGCAGTGGGAACAGGGGATTCAAGTTTCCCTGGGAAATTTAAGTGAAAATATATCCTATAATGATGAAGCGCAGTAATCAAGGGATGGTTTTACAAGCCTAAAATTGTAAATGAGTTAACAGAGACTCCTAGAACCAAGAGGAAGAGTAAGTGCGGAACAAAGAAAGTGCTAATCCAAAAACTGAAGAGTAGAAACATAGAGCACATGAAATCAAGGCAAAACTAATTTATTTGTTAAGATATCACAGGATTCTGAAGTATAAAAAGTCTATCTTGTTGAATATTCTATCCCCTGAGATGCAGGATAGATTTTGAAATAGTCAACAACTAATAACTGTAAGCAAATGAACTTTCAGGCAGAATTCAAGCAAATAAGAATACATCATCAGAACACAACAGGAGGGGCATCAAGATGGCCTAGGTTCAACTCTCCATGTCCACAAAATGAACGGCACACAGTAGCCCTTTAATAAATTTTTGTTATTAAAATGTATATATCTTTTGCCAAGATAAATAATAAATTATTTAAAAATGCACAGGATATTCAGATTAATAAAAGGTCAGCCAAGTAGTTATATATTAAATGAATAACTACTAAGCACCCAAATCAGAGCAAGTGATGGGCAAGTTACCTGGCCAGAGCACATATCTCTTTCTCTCACTCACTCACTCATTCACTTGCTTGCTCACTCTTTTTTATGGAGTCTTGTTAAATTATTAAATTGCCCTGTATGGTCTTGAATTCTGAATACACTAGACTCAATCTCCCAGAATGCAGGGATTACAAATATGCACCAGCACACCTGGTCAAATCATTTTATGCTGTCAGATTAAAAATAAAAAAAAAACAAACTGCTTTTCCCCCTTAGTTACAAGTTGTATTACAATCCTAAAATGATGGAAGGATTGATTAATGGCCTAACCACATGCAGAGAGTCTTAATGTTTCACTATTCAAATTAACAAGCCCTTTGTGCTAAATAACTGATGGTGCCATTTGAGATCTAAAATTTGTCAGTGATCACTAACAATCAGTAACTCCATAAATTTGGTGCATGAATGCTTTTGTTGGCATATATAGCCTACTTGTGTAAGGGGCAACCAGGACACAGCAAATATCCGAGCCTTTCTCACTTTATCTCCAGTAGTAATTATTTAAGGGAATAACATGGGAAGAAGCTGTAAGTCTCCATCTTTTTAGGTTCAATAAATCAGTCTGTCACTTTATTTTCACATAGCATAAAGAAAGTGACAAAAACATTTCTTAGATTTGATTTTCTCCTCTATATTCAAGAAAGATATATGGTTGATGCCAAGTGAAATAAAAATAGTGTGCCATAGCATGCAATAATGATCATCATTTTAATGATTAACTTTATGTAATGTGATGATTTGGTCTGATTAATATTACAGGCATCATACTGTAGAAATTATGAAACAACTTAATTTACTATAATTAAAAGCATGATGTCAACTCATTTTTAGATTGCATATAGGCAAAGTAAGCATAGGTTATATGCTATAATGAGCAGAACTTAAAACTAGCATATATTAAATTCTATAATAAATTCTAATATGCCAAAGTTTAAGAAGCTGTATCAAAAAACAATATTCTTTATAAAGGTTATGCTCTAGTAACAATACATTAAATATTTTTTGCATTCTCAGAGGTCTCAAATATTTTAACAGCTATGTAAACTCAAAATTATTTAGTAGTTTTGTTGGGCCAGTGATAATCCTGGAAAATATTTTGCTACTGTTATTTGATTGGATACTACAAACTTTTATAGCTACACAGTGGCATCTATACATGACCTTAATGATTTTGGGTACTATCGTTAATAGAAAATCCCTTCCTTTAAAAAAATCTCACATAGAAGCAGAAAATCAGCAATTGTGTTCGTTTTACACATGACAGCAACCCATTAACTTAGTGTGACACTTAGCTAAAACTAGATTTCACAAAGAAGAGTGTAGGTCTAGCAGAAAGTTCAGAAACCCAACTAGGGTTGAGTCAAGTGAGAATCTTAGTTGTGTGTAAAGACAGGGTCCTCTAACAGCACATAGAAAGGCATTCTACACAGCAGTAGGCAGGTCAGGAAAGGTGTTGTGGAAATGGTATAATACAAACAAAACTTGAAGCTAATCTTGGAGGATAAGTAGAAATCACTGAAAGGGATGGAGTCACAAGGAAGCTCTGGTATGGAATCTATTTTCTCCTTTTGCAGAAGAAAAGTAAACAATGAAAGTGACTTAGTTACATCTTGTGAACATGCTGCTGATAAACTATTGGCACTGCAAGTAGGAGAGAGAGACCTCACCTATGGTATGGTTTTTGCAGGATGCACCTGATAGTTTAGGATCGCTATGGCAATAACTAGAAAACTAACGGCAAGGTGCTTTCTCAAGAAGCATGTGAGTTATGTTACTGAGACTGAATGGGGCATCTTTCATAAGTGAAACAACTTTCCCTCTAGGAGTGATGGAGCTACTGTTTGAGACACACGAATCATTTTTTTTTTTTTTTTTTTTTTTCTTTTTTAGGGAAGGGTCTAGAGGGTGTTCAAGGTCTCACTATTAGATCAGACACCTATTGATCCACCTGTTTACAGCCTCCCAAGAGCTGGGATTACAGGCATGCACCACCACGCCCAGTCTCAGTTGCTGTCTCAGCATACCCTGGGGGCGGGGTTGGCATAGCAGGCTCAAGGTTTGAAACCCCAGCCCCTGTGCCTTTTGGCAGGTGCTTTAATCCACTGAGCTATTTGGCTGGCCCTCACTAATCTAGGTGGGTGAAAATCCTGACACAAGAAGAGACCTGTTGGTGGTCTTGCATTTCCTTTCATTTACCTTTCAGTTTATGTTTATTTGCATCCTTGAAATAACTAATATTTGAAGCAAATTGCTTTCTGTAATTCATAGAAGTATGAGTTCATATACCTCATGTAAGTTTAGAATATATAATATTTATATTTAGTGTACACATCACAGTAAATGGTAGAATGTACAACAATTTTGACACTATTTGTCAGTCTATGGAATACACAAACCAAATGTGTGATTGTTCTTTTCACTGGGAAAAACATGTTTGCTGACATCAATCCCTGGTATGGACTTATCAGCTTCATGCGTGGTCTCATTTCACTTTAAATTCTTTAGTATTGAAGAATCATGACCATAAGGAAACATTTTCATGCAGGAAAGCTACACTACATACGGTATAGATACAGTTGTTCATTACTGATTGCTGACTAATTGCATCATGCCATTCTTGAGCTGCACCAAGAAATGCCCTGGACATGCTCCTTCAGAGCCTGCAACATGCCTTTTCATA